TGCAAAAGCTCTAATGAAACATCTTCAAAGCTAGATTTGCCTTCTGAACTCATGCTGGGAGTTCAGCCTGTTATATATGGGAATTTATTCTTCCAAGTGGAGTACAGGGACTGACTTTGCAGAGGTAAAAATTGGGGCAGGCTTATACCTGATGTCATTCTTTAAAAGTCACATCACTGCTGAACCCTCTGTTTAAAAGTGTCTGCTGTAACATTAGTCGATAAGTCTGCTGATTCTTCAAGTCTGAGGGAATGATGTGTTCTTCACAAAGTCAATGTGGAGTTACTATATACTATGCTCTAGTAGGGTTATCTTAGGCTACAAAAAACTAATGAGGATGCCATCATTTTGTTGCAGGAGATGCACCCTTCAGTTTCAGTGACAAAACAGCTGGAAGCTTAACTGTTTTCTTCACTCCCAACTGTGAAAGTGTTCCGCAGGCAGAAAGTACTGCTTGACTCAGTGCTACCATATTGAGAAACTGTGCTTTTTCCAATTTTTAATCTCTTAAATCTGAAATAGAATGGTATTCCCTCAGCTCTTCTCTGCTGTGGCAGCTAAACCAAGACCAGTGGGCTGTCATCTGTCAGTGGAGGGCTGTTATAAAGCCTTCACAGGTAGCATTTTGCTGTCAGTTGCATCACAGGTGTCACGAATTGAAGTATCCCACAGAGTGAATTTTCCTCACTGAACTAACTCAGTGCTGCTCAGCAGCATGGATAAAACCAAATTTTCACATCCTAAGCATGAAGGGCTGTAAGCAGGGACTTATTTACCCATGTCATGAGAAAGCAGTAGAGGACAGGACAGAGATTGGATACAGAGCTAGAGAGAGGATGTGGGGAATCACTTTTCCTCTACTATCACTGCTGGGTGATCAGGAGGTGAGTCAGCAGCAGTTGCTGTGTCTTGGATTCCCTCTCTTTCTCTTCCACTTTCTACTTTTCCCTTTCTTCTCCCTGTTTTCCCTGTCCCTTCAATATATATCATCCTATGTTATGCATTGGCAGCAAGTGATATGTGCTCTCCAGGACTTGAGTGAAGTAAAATAGGCACCAGGACCACAGACATTTCAACCCTCAAGCAGTTCTGCCACTGCTAAGTCTGGTGACAGAGCTTTGGGAGAAGATTGGCAAGTTAGGGAGCACCGGGGAGACGGAGAAGGAGGTAACTGATGTAGTTGTGCTTTGGCGTCCTTGAGACAGATGCATCAGCTGGCCACAGCACAAGAAACACTGGATTTCAGCAAAGCTTTCAATACTGTTTGTCACAGTAATCTCCTGAACAAAATGTCTAGCATACAGCTAGAGAAAAACATAATGTGGATGATGGACTGTGCTCTAAGTTTTAGAAAATGTGGTTACATCAGGCTGGCAGCCACTCACCAGTAAGGTTCTGCAGGTCTCCATTTTAGGGCAAGTTCTCTTCAATGTTTTCACAAGCGACTTAGGTACAGGACTTGGGAATTGGGAAGAGCTGTTGACTCCGCTGAGGGAGAGATCTTGACAAGTGGAGGGCTGGGCAACTACCAACTCCATGAATTTCTCACTTGTGTGGGGGTACCCCTGAATATATGTACAGATTGAGGGATGAGAGGCTGCAGAACAGCCCCACAGAAGGGCATCTGGGGATTCTAGTTGAATCTGAGCCAGCAATGTGCCTTGGCAGCCAGAGGGCCAACCATACCCTGCGTTGCACCAGTTGCACTGCCATCGGGGAGGGCAGGGGCTGTCCTACTCTGCGCTATGCAACTTCACCTTGAGCACTGGGAACAAGTTTATGTGCCACAACATAAGATGGATATAAGACTATGAGAGAACATCTAAAGAAGATGGTGAAGGGTCTGTAGGGCACGGTGTATGGGGAACAACCGCAGTCCCTGGGTTTGTTCAACACAGAGCAGAGGAGAGCTGAGGGGAGGCATCATAGCAACCTGCTGCTCCTCACAGGGAGCGGAGAGGCAGTGCTGAACTCTGCTCTCTGTGGCAGCGACAGGGCCTGAGGGAACGGCATGGAGCTGCATTAGGGGAGGGCCAGTGAAGGTTAGGGACAGGTCCTGCACCAGAGGGTGACAGGCATGGAATGGGCTGCACAGACCCAAGTGCCAGAGTTTAAGGAAAGTGTAGGCAATGCCGTCAGAAACATGATTTGAATTTTGGCTAGTCCTGTGTGGAATCAGGAGTTAGTGATTGTTGAGACCTTTCCGACTCAAGATGTTCTATGATTCTATGATTTTGTGTGGCTGGGGTAACTTACACCCACCTTACACATATAGTGAAAAGATCCCTCTTCAATAATGAATTCTGAGCTGAAACACACATATAGTGAAAAGATCCCTCTTCAATAATGAATTCTGAGCTGAAACAAAGCTAGTATTTTCTCAGGACTTTGGAAGTCCCCCAGTACCTTTCTCCATTTAATAACATCTGCAATTGATTTTAAAACATGGGTCCTTCGTCACCTCCATACTTCCTCCTGTCTTTTTCCCTAAATAGAGACAAGTTCTACTAGAGCTGATTTTTCAGCCTTCCTTTTTATGGGTGATCTTGACGTGTCAGGAAAGTAAGATGTTAAAAAAGAGGTTTGGAACTTATGCATTTGTCCTTGGTAATTAAGTGGCACATAGCTGTCAAGGACATGAGAGGTACACTTCAGTGACAGATTCAAAAAGTTTCTCTTAGTGTAAAAACTTCCTGCTTAATTACCCAAAAAGCTCCTCCTCTTAGAAACACTAAATTGTGGTCAATGCAAGCTTACAAGCGCAATGGAAAAGGAGAACAGGAAATGCCGCTTGAAGGTTTCATTAATGTGTCGAGCTCTTTAATAAGTCAGCACTTGAATCTGTTTATCAACCTGACAGCTGCTTCCCTCATCAGTCTCACTGGTGACATCACGTTTACTTCTTCATTTCTGAGAATTTAACATTAATGCAGCGAAACTGGTGTAAAAAGTGACTGGTGTGGGGAATAATGAAGCTAGTGGAAATGAAATCTTTCATTGATTTTTCTTGAAAGGAAAGGTGACCCTACTCCGTGTGAAGCTGTAACCATGGTAGCAGATCTAGTCACTGTGAGAAAAATGATGCTGCTTTTACAGTAGGAGGTGGAAATGGACACTCTGAGCTGAATGTTTTCAAGCCTATGATTGGTTGCTTGAGACATTTTCATTTAATAAGCTTAGACTTTGAAGATGGATTGTGCTACTGTATTTCTTACAGAAAAGAAGTCTGTGGGAAGAGAACACTTTTGGTAATTGGGCCACACCTGCACTGAGAAGCTGAGGGACACCTATGCTGGAAGAAAGCTGAATCCCTGATGATAACAGTGATCTAATAACAGGTGTCAGAGATACAACAGGGAGTCCCAGATATGTAGGGACCAACTGTTAGATAAAGGACCTCTACATTACTAGCTGCATAAAGGGGCCTTGAAGCATTAAAAAAGAGTCTGGATATAACCAGCAATTTAGACCGTGGGCAGCATGGGGCATTTTCAGTCTCTCAAATGCTTTAGAAGAACTAATTCTCATTATTGTCTGGGAAAAAAGACTGCATAAATAGTGAGCCAGGAAGATCAGCTTTATGGCCTAAACCCAGACAGAAAATCTATGTCAAAGCTAGTGCTGAAAAGCGTGATTTAAAATCCTGATCCTGTCCCAGTTGCCCTTGTAGCTCTCAGAGTATCCTCCTGAGCCACATAGACACGATCACTGTAATTGCTGCTGCATGTTGTCCTAAAACACATGCAGCTTCTTCCTGGATTCTGGAGAGATATCTACACATGGAGATCTATTGGAGACTGATTGGTCCCAATCCTGCAGCTGAGTGCCTGCTCTAGTTTGTACCACAGCTGAGCACAGTGTAACTCAGCACTATTGGGCATACTTTCTCTTTTGCAGCTGTAGTAGAAGCTGGTTGAGGGCCGATACCCATGAAAAATTTAGCTCCTCTGTGTCTCCCCAGACTTGCTACAGACAGTGTTGAAAGGTTTGCTGAGCACTAGTACATAAACAAGAAGGACCAGCACGCTCATTCTTCATCTTAAAGAATAAAAATGTTTGCAGTACAAATGTATTTGTGATGTACAACTGTTTGCCATCTGCATATTGTAACTGATTCTTTCTTGGTTTAAATATCAGTGATATCTAAAGCCCTATGTGGTTGTAACTTTGGGACAGTTATTAAGAACAAAAAGACAGGGAGCCAAATTATTATCTGGTATATTTCAAATTAGAATTAATGTACTCCTTATGTACAATGATGGCACCACAAACCAGTGTATGGTCCTGCAACCCAAGAGAAACGTTCACCGTTATATTAAACTATTATACCTACTAGGCAGTGTCTAATTTGATCAAGAAGAGTTGACATGGATCAGAAACAAAGTACTTGTTTTGTAGCAGCACTTTGATTCAAAAAGCATTTATAATCCCTGTTACGCTAGATAACCACTGTAAAATTAAAACACTTGTCCTTGTAACGCTAGGTAAGAGACTCATTGGCATGTTCACGAGCTAAGGCTTCTGCTTGTTTTTGTTGGAAGTTGCCACGTAGAAGTAATTGTGTAATAATGTAATACAGCTAGAGTATACAGGAAATAAGAGAAAACAATATGCAACTTCAAATGTAACCTTCAAATATAGCAATAGTAGGAACCCCACTAACTGCACCAGACAGGTAAACTGCATGCTTTTCCTAGTGGGCTATATGCTTTTTGTGCGTAATATCAAATGTTCTGTTTTTAAGTCCAGGCATCTAATCTCAAGCTTTCTTACTAGTTTTGCAAAAGGCTGTCACCTTGACTGTACATTCTGGGGACAGGATTGGCATAAGAATTGCTGAAGAGAGGCCAGCAACATCTCCCATGGAGCTATAAAGAAATCTTTCCATCAGCAGGCTGAGTAGCTCTGGTTGGTAACCTGTCCATGCTCCAACAAAGATACCCAGTGGGTTTTGTATCTACAGCTCTGTCATGCGGCGTATTGCAAGCTACTAACTGCAGTGATAAAATGGTTCCCTCAGCTGATTCAGCCTGTCCTGGTTTTGGAAGTCATACTCGTACTGATGTAAGCTTTTGTGATCCTTCCCATACCACCCTTGGAGGGGAGCCACATTTACTGTGGTAAGCATCTGCTGTTTGAAGCCCTCAGAGGAGCTTAAGTTGCACTGTTTGAATCTCCATAGCTGTGTGGGAAAGTAACTTTCAGCAGGCAACAGGGTGAAAGAGAATCGGTTTCTGTAGGCACTGAGGAATAAAAGAGTTCAAGAAGATTGATTTCAGGATAACGATTGGAGGACAAAAGCAGAGGTCAGAGAAAAGGCCAAGCGTGAAAGCCAGAGAATCAGAAGATGAGAGAGAAGGAAATTAAAAAAAATATAGCAAGCACTTTAATGATCTCAGTAGTGAATTTCAAAGGAGGAGAAGGATCAGACTTCCTTCAGTTTTGGGTCATTGCTGGAGGACTTCACTCAGATCCGCAGATGATGAATTTTCCATCTTGACATCTAACAAGTGATTGTGCAGGCTGACTGGCAAATGTTTTGCTTTTTTCCGTAGATTAATCTGCCGCTGGGATTTTTCTGGCACCATTTTTTGTGTAGAAATTGAAATAGAAGTGATAAGACACAATAAAGCAGATCTCTGCTTTTCTCTCTTCCCCGCTCTTCCCATATCAGAAGCAATTTGGGTTCTGTATGGGGAATATGTATATTCACAATAGTAAATAATAAATAGGATTGGGGAAAGGGGAAAACAGTCAGTCACACGGAGACAGGAAAAGAGACATGAAAAGAACAGAACACGCTCTCTGGAGGAGAGTATCCTAAAAATAGAGGACATCAGAAAAAAAATAAATGAAGCAATATAGTTTGTTTTTGCATGACCAAAGCAGAACTAACAAGGCATATTTCTAAATGACTAAAGAAGCTTGTTAGAAGCCTTTGGCAAGACTAACTTTTTGTGAGTCAGATTAGCATACTGAAAATGTATAATAATGTTCCCAAAAGGAGATTAGAATTTCTAGTTTTGCAGAAATTTGGTTTTTTTTTAGCATTGTGATCAGCTGCAAATTGTTGCCACATTGCGCCAGAAGTTTATTAATTGTGAAGCTGCATAACTTATAAATGCCTTCTAGTGGTATATTTAGCTCAAATGTAATTTGTAAAATCTTCATTTTGCTTAGCAAAAGTAGTGCTTATGACACGGTCATGAAATGTTTTTATGCAGAGAGCTCAGAACAGTCCACAAAGTGCTCTAATGCACACTGATTTGGATAAGCCATACTATTAAAAAGTTCTTTAGGCTTTGATACAGCTGAGTTTCAAAGTGGATGGTAAATATCAGTGAGTCTATACATACGGGTATGCGTACATTTGCAGACAGAAAGGAAAAATACAGGTACATACACAGAGGGCAAAAGAAAATGGTATTGAACATGGGCCTTAGTAATGGAGTTGTATCTGTTGAGTTACTGTGCCATATTCCAAAAATGCTAAGCACTGCTTCTAATAAACTAATGCTCTTCGGATAAAAAATGCATTAAACTTCTAAAACCTCTTAGGAGATGCCTGCATCTCCCTCACTGGCAGCTGTGTCGTCACAGTTTAAGCCAATGGGGGATCAAGAAACTAATGAGAACGTCTTTTGATGGAAGTGACAGAGCTGAACATCCATGTCGACAAAAGCCTGAGGCAGATGCCTGAGCACACAGAATGCATCTACTTCAAAAACAAGGCATAGAATGAGCAAGCTAAATCATGCATTACTTCAAAACTGGCCTTTGTTACCAACATTTTCATTTGACTCCTTTCTCCTCCTCTCCTCCCTTTCACCATGTATTGTGTTTATTTAGATGGAAGACTCACATCAGTGAATAGTTTCACCATATTTAACAATAAGTGGTATCATGAAGGGAATGGCAACTGTTTTTTGCTTGTCTAACAGCCTAACATCTTCCCTACTTGTCATGTTGAAGATCTCAAATGCTAAATAACCGTTTGTATAAAAAAAATCCTACTATACATAAATCAGAGGGTGAAGAGTGCTTAGATAGGACCTTGAAGAGAGCTGGGAATCCAGACTTTTGAGGATGTGAGTCACGTGTTCACTGGTTATGCTAAGAAATTACGGAGGAATGCTAAACTACATCTGTAAGATAATGAATAACATTTCATATCAAAATCATGTAGGTCACTGTTTTGCATTTTTTATTAGCTATCTGCGTGTTCTTCCATACAAGTCGGCAAGGAGGCTCTTCACCAAGGTTGGTTGTACCAAACACTCTGTTGTGCTCATCATTTTGCCTCATGAATACTAATTCCGCAGGGAAACCTTTTTTCAATCACCTCCTTTCTTGTATGAACATGTGGCTTGAATGCTGAACATCCTTGTCCAGTTACCTTTATTCCCATCCTGATTAGGAATGCAGGCATTAATGTCAAAGACATTAAATTGTTTTCAAATAAGAAGCTAAACACTGAGCATTGTTCAAAGTCCGTGGTTTCCTTCAGCAATGTCCTTTACCTGAAAGTGAACTGAGGTATTCCACAGACAGGGCTTCTCTGAGAGCTGTCACATAGAGGAAGAGAAGGACTTCATTTCATGATGGGCCAGGGCTGAAGATACCCATTTGTCATAATGCAACATGTATTTTTAAAGTGCTGAGCAGGTCCAGATAGTGTTTTCTTGCACTCTGTAGTTCATGCCTTCAGACTGCTCCATTATTTGGAATATAAATACCAGTGTATCACTAGGAAACATAGCAAACATTGCAGTGGGGCTTAGTCTGACAGTAATGATGCCCTTTATTTTATATAATCATAGAAAGTGAATTGTGTAGTTCTTCAGTATTCCTCTTCTGAGAACGTGGCTTCAGCGTCTTGCTTTCAGGCTACGTAATCAATTGCTTTTTATAGTTTCACAGGGATGAGAGGAGGATGTAATTGAATAAGTAAGTCAGAGTAAGATTTGTGCCCATGGCATGTACTACGTGTAGAATTACATGGTTATAGTAAGCCTGGATCTGTGCAGGGGGTTTCACCAGTGCTCATCCTGCCTGCCCTTTTGGCCAGCTGCAAACATTTAACTGCAGCTGGCAGACCAGAGGAACACATCAGAAGAATGGAAAGAGAAAAGCTCAAGAAGAGGACTCCAGGACAAGATTTCTGATTTTCTGTTCTTGTGTCTTCTTCAGGAGCTCCTCCAGTTTATGTTTGCATGAATTTACTTCAAATTCCAGCCGCAAAGGAAGGAAGTTTACTAGCAGTACTCATGAAGAAAGAGCTTCACTGTGTTGAACATCTTTTGATTTCTCTCTAAATTTAGCTCTCTTGAACCCTGTGAACCAGCAGGCCTGAAAGCCACCCAGCAGTGGGGTAAGGGCGCTGCTGCTCTCTTTGACAATATCAGCGCATATGAAAAAATGTCTTCTCCTCCTTTAATCCTGCCTCCTTTTTTCTTTCATGATTCAGTGTCAGGGAATCAAAATGCCAAGCAGAATATTCAGTAGCTAATAGGTGGAATGATCAGCAAAATAAAATAAGTAGGATCAGCAGGAGCCAGCTAACCTTATTCTGTAAGGAAATATGTGAGTGGATGTATTAGTAGACAAAACAATGTTTGGTTTTGGATTAGGTGTACTGCCCTGAACTCACAGCAGTTATTTAGGTGGAAAACTGCATAGGATTTAATAAAAATGCCAGTGACAGCAGGATGAATTTGTTTTCCCTAGGGCAAACCTGAAACTTTGCATGTGCCTGCATATATATAATTCTTTTTCTGTGACTGGGAAAGTGGCCAAATGAAAATGTTTTCATGGCAAGTATAATTACAAAAATTGCTTACTACCTGAGCAAGTCTCACCAGATGCCAGTGAGTACCAATGAATATCAATCAAGAAAATACTTGCTCAAATAAAATCATAAATGAACTAGCTAATTCTATAGGATACATGTCATCCTTGATCAAAATAATACACTCCTCAGCGGGAGTCGGCCACACAAAAATTATGATTGCACTGTGTAGCCTGGGGATCCATTCTAGGAGACAAAGAAAAAGTCAATAATCTCATGAATCTCCTTTTGAAGTAAATACATATTTCAAATATAAAATTGAAAGAATAAAAAAATTTTATATATCTATCAGGATATTCCTCATGCAAGTAATGGAACTATGGAGGTCTGAAAGAGAAAAGAAGAGCTGCTGTTTGTTCCCTTGGATAGAAATCTTTAGTTCTGTTGGCCCAGAAAGGCTGTTTACTTTCAAAAATGCTTTTCAGTGGGGGTGCTGTTAGATGAAGAAGGGACTTATCACAGATTATTATAAAACCAGTCTAAGACTATTGAACCCCTCTGTTTTTCCCTTACAATACAATTACAGATTTTTTTTTTCAAATAGAAGGCTACAGAGCTGAGAGGGAGGAAAGCCAGGCAGGAGTAGAAGGAAGGCTTTAGCACAGCATCAAGCTTAGGACCTCCAGATTTATCAGTGTGCCACAGGAAGTTAAACCACAAGAGTCCATAGCTTCTTGAGAGATGAAGAATACATCTTTGTAAGAGTCTAAATGTTAGCGTTTCTATACAGCAGTGCAATGTAGAAGCATCCAAATTATCACAAGGACTAAGTGTAGTTAAGCCATATGTTTGTGGGCTTATCTGCATCTGGCCTCCTAAATCAGCCAAGACAGAAGGCCATAGTGTATAAAGACTAGCCTTAGTCTCCGAAACAGCTTGTGATCTCTAGAAATTATGCATATTGGGATACAAAGAAGGTGCCCAATGAGTGGCTTGGGAGACTAAAATGCTTCCCAGGATTACTTGAAATGACTGAGAAGCCATTGTAAGCACTCCAACACAGAAGCAAACCTGCCTGGAAATCCACAGGGGCAGCAGCACCCTGCTGCTGACAACACATCAATGGGAATGATGCTGTGGACACACTGCTGGGGAGATGGTTTTAATACTAAGCAGGAGGAAGAGGCAGCTTGTACTAGGCCACTATTCCAGCTAACCCCTAGAAAGTGAGGTTCTTTTGCTGGGGATGGAGAGTGAGTTCTGAGTTCATGGCCAAGGCTACACAGGTCAGGGATCATGTGCCTCCTGAGCTGCCTGGTACGTTCGAGAAGTCTGACTTATCGTTCTGTCCTGGAAGGGAAGCACTTTTATTCTGAGCAGAATTTGTGCCTGCAGCAAAGAGCCTTGCCATGGTGTTGACTCACATTAATAAAACAATAGTATGAAGGATGCAAAGAGAGGTAGCCTGAAGTATTATCTGCAAGAAACTTCCTTGAGTCACTCTAAACACATCTTTCTGTAAGCTATTAAGCATTAAAGAAGCATATGCCCCTCACCACTCTAGATCTAGAAAATAGGAATCAGTGGAAGGAATTTTCACCTTATATGACTGCCATTTATACACTATTGGTTTGAAAATCGTTACACCTGATTCTAATTTACATGTGAGAACTTTTACACAGCATGAAGGGGCCTTTAAGGGTACGATTTACATTCAAGAACTTCTATATTGCCAAAGTACCTAGCAGAGCAGTGATATACAACCTTCATGAAAGTGGAGATTGGGCACAGTCACCCAAAAACGGACATCATTTGACAGATCTGGCTCCAGTTGGTTCTGGAGGAGGGAACAAGATCTGAACAGCCAGGGATGACAAGAACAAGTGCTGTATAAAACCACGTCCATGAAGCTATATCCTTTGCACATACTCTTTTCTTTTTTTCATCTTTCCTCCTCTGTTCCTGCATCTGTTGCAGCAAAGATCTCTGCTCTAAGTAACAGAAAAAGAGAGAGGAAAATGATTTCATCATGATTTCATGTGATTTCCCTGGGTAGGTAAAAATAAAGTTGTTAGACAGGTGACCATGCATGAATGTCACAGAAGCAACAGCACCATCTTCTCTGTGCTTTTTCTATATACGTAGAGCTAAAAATAGCTGATACAATGTTGGCTTAAGATTTTATCTGTCTGTATCAGTGTTCTCTCAATGACGGTGAAACAACCTGGCAACACTCATGCAAATGCCAGATCAGTATCTGGCATGGAAGACATTATGTCAAGAACAGCTAGAAATAGTAGGGAGTTTTTCCATTAAAAACTTATGAGAATGTTTCACTGGGGAGAGCAGGAGACTGCTTGGGTAGAGCTCAGAGGGCTCAGATGAGACTAGGTACCAGGAGGAGACAGAGTGTCCCATGTGAAGAATGGGCACATCCCCTTTTTTCCTCCTGTATGTTAGAGCTAAGTTTTTGGTTGTTTTTTTTTTTTTTTTTTTTTTTCTTTTTCTTTTCTTTTTTTTTTCTCCCCCCTGGAAGTCTAAATCTGATATCCAGATTCTTCTGGTTTTGAGGTCACTGGATACCCTGAGATAGCACTAATGCTCCCTGTCACTGTCCCATCTGCCTTTCTTCCTTCTTCTGCTCTCAAGAATCCAAATATATGTCCAGTCATATATTTTCTTTTGTTTTCCTATAATACCTATATACCTCAGTATTATTCATGAAGCTGAACTTAACACTCCGGATGGTACTAGTGAGAAAAAAAAAAGTGATGATTGAGAGTAACTGTGTAAAATTATTTTTCAAAGTACTTCAGTAGTGTAAGAGCTAAGGGAGGCAATAAAAACAGCTCAGAATTTTTTTGTTTTTAGTCAAGAGAGAAAGAGCTCCTCTCTGATCAGAATCCTATCTCTGTACCCTTTTTGTCCTCAGAAGAGTTTCCCAGAAGGCTGGGAGAAGACCTGACCCAAGCACGCTCTCAAACAGAAGTTAACAGAAGTGTCTAATAGATGGATCATGTAAAAACACTTTGTGATTGCTGTTGCTTTTCAAGCCCACAGTCATGAGTAATCCCTCATTTCCTTCCTTCTTTCTTCCACAGGATATTACTAGGAAGACCAGATTGCCAAGAGAGCAAACGATGGGATGGCACCAAAAGCAGCTGCCGAGTTTGGATTCTTCAGACAGGAACAGACTGATCAGCAGCAAAGCCCAAAGAAATATTTGGCTTTGAGTCATTTTTTTAGCACCACGGGGAACAAAAAATGGAGGAGGGAGAGCAGTGGCAGAGAGCTGCAGATGATTCTGCTGCCTGTTTAATTTTTTTATACAGAGCAATTTAATTGTGAAGTAGAGGTTTTTCATGTACATTACATAAGAGAGTTCCCAATATAGTAAGCACATATTGGGTGTTTACTAAAATCCCGAAGGATGTCACATTAGGAATACTGGTACCTCAAAGACATTTACCAAGAGCATCTTTAGCAATTTAAATTTACAGATATCTAAAAAGGAGAATTATTCCTATGCTAGATGAAAGCAGGGCCATGCAAAGACTCGATCAGCCTATTTGTTACAGAAATGTGAGTGAGTAGTTCAAGACAAGACTTCCTAATTTACACGGGTGACCTTCAACTCTATGATTTCTTCATTCCTTTCAGTTTTTACCTTTGATGTCTGGTTTGCTTTTTCTAAAGAGATTCAGGAAATTAGTGTCACTGTTTGAGGTCTGAATGCCCTTGTAAAGAATTAGAAACAGACAAAAGAGATGTTTTCAATGTTTTTTTTAACAGCCATATAACTTGTTTCAATGCTTGTATGACACTAAGCGTGTGCACCAGCAACTTTCCAATTTTTGCAAGAGCTGGCAGATAGAAAAGCTTCTTAATAAAACAGCAACATATTTTTCTTTCAGATTTGCAGTTTCTAAATGTCACTCTTTTCTTGCTGATTTATAAAGATCTTCTCTTACCAGATCCAACCAGAGCAATACATACACATGAAATATACTGTACTTCAAAAGTAATGTCTTTTCCCTTGATAGAATCAAAAATTGTGGTGAAACACTGAAAATTATGTCTGCTTTACAAATTTTATTAAGTAAATCAAATGGTTGGATCTTTCTGAAAGAGAAGTCTTCTAATTCTATGCATAAAGTGGCACAGTGCACTGCAGAGAAAGGATGCTGATTTACAGACACTCAAAACCATACATTTAATTTCTGTGAAAGACTGTCTTCTAACTATGTAATTCAATACATTTGAGTAAATAATGTACCTGTGCTATTTACTGAAAGGTACACTCCAGAATTACTTCCTGATATGTAACTTGAACAATTTAATACCTCAAGAAATTGCATGAAGTGAAGAAAAACCTAGTCAGAACCATACTGTAAATAAGATTTTAATTGAAAACAGCCAGGAAAGACAATCAAACAAATTTCTCCTGAAGACAGAGACAGTATTCAGTGGCCACCCTTGGAGAAGTCACTACTTGGGGGACAAAAGTGAAAATTTAGAAAAACATAACATTTTCTCTTTATTCAGAACAGGATTCTTATTTTGGTACAAACTTCAGGGAGTTCTGGAGTTATCCCATGCTCCTGGGCTGCAGGTGAGAAATCTCCAGAGCTGTATGAGTCACTGTGGTCAGTCATGCAATTTGCACTGGGCTCTGTTATAAATAACTCCTACTGGCAGCTAAAATAGCTGCCACTGATGCTCAGCAGATTTGCAGGTTTCATGATTTTTAAGGTCCTAACTGGGCCAATAACTTTACCTGTGCCTCACAGACACCAACACTGTCTGTTTTTCCAGATGGAAGAATGCTGCAGTTGCTCACCCATCACTTACCTTGCCTGCTTTGTAGTTTCTGCCTTCCGGTGACTGGGAAGTTTGGTTTGTTGCAGTTAGCTTTCTAATGCCTCTTGTTTTTTCATATGTGGAAAACAAAGCAAATAATAAAAGAACAATCTTTGCTGCAGGTGTAAAGATTAAGCTGCAGTGTCATCTGAATTTTGCTTCCTTGAAATGCGTGCCTAAAAAGGCTCCCTGAGCCTCTGATTTATGGGGGAGCGTTAAACATTTGGGAAGCTCTGGCATGTGTTGGGGGGAACCATTTCCTGGAATGTTGTCAGACTGTGGCTGAATATGTTCTAAAGAAGAATTCTTTGTACAACCACACTGCTCTCACTCACAACTCTCACTTATAGGGAAAGCATCACAGAAGAATAGTCCTTCATGGAAAACTCTCAAGCTCAGTAAATACATATTTTTATCCATCCACAAAACAAAACAGGGTAGAAGCCAGCTACTTAAAACATACCTGCTAAAGGTAATTTCAGGCATGGACCAGAGTATGAAGGGGTCTGAAAGAATGTACAGTAATTAGCATTAAACTCATTTATTAATCCACTGATCTCTTTATTTTTACAAAAATAAAAAATAAAAAAAAAAAAGAAAACCAACAACAAAAAAAGGCAGAAAAAAGGCAGAAATTAGGAAGGACTGAAATTTGAGGAAGGAAATAAGATATTTGCTGGTATCTCTAAGACAGTTTGAAGCTGCTATAAATGGAGTTTCTATACTGATATCATGTAAGTAACATCTTGGCACGGTGGAGGCACGGTGAGATGGTGAGAACCTGCTAGTTTAACCAGTGCTACAAACATAACCAAAGTTTGCTGAAGTAGAAGAATAGAGCCCATAGCCTTCTTTGAAGCAAATCCCCTTGTAAGGACACGTCACATCAGAGATGCTCTGAGCAAGATTACGCCGTTTCCTAACAGGGATAACAGTCCTGAATGCAGGTGGTTTGGTCACCTGCAGACCGTGCTTGGAAATCATCCCTATGTAGTGGGCACATGGGGCTGTAGCTTGAGTTGACCTTAGCCAATTAAAAAGAAAGAATGTAAAGCTTTTGCTTTTCCTGTCAGGCAAAGATGATCCTGTATTGAAAAGAGATTTGAGTTTTTCAAGGAATCACACTGAAATGATACTGGAATTGCTCCACTTGGCTCAGTTTCTTGCATTGTTGGAGCATCAGCTATTTGTCCTAATATTAATTATTTAACATCTAATAATATCGTTTGTCTTAATTGAGCAGTGTGTGCTCATTCTCTGCAGATCAGTCTTGAATGGAAGTAGAAAAAGGACGACCAGGACCTCTGTCAGCTGGAACTGTGTCCTACAAACATAGAGCATGCTATTCTACAGAATGTCTACTCGCAAAGGATGAGCATATGAGGCTTTCACAGATCGAATATACAGTCAATGCGCAAAGTATTTAGATTAAATTTAAATACAGTATATTGAACAGCTTTGTAAGACCAAATAATACATGTTTTTTACAAGTATGATATATTTTAGACAATTCAGAGGACTGAATTCTGTAGGTGGTACTGAAGTTTCTCAATAATCTGAATTAAAGGAAGGAGAATGACTGCAGAGAGGGCCAAAGACGGTTAATTTACATGCAGAGCTTGGCCTCAGAACAGGGCTGAATTTAAAGATGTAAACAGAGTAATTGCCAGTGTGAAATAGAAACATATGTAATAGCTGGATATGATAATTTAAGATGTAATTTTGGATAATAAGGGTGTTTTCAGAGAGCAGAATAGCAATGAATGTCTTTCCACTTTGGTGCACCACAATGCTATTATTATTTCCTGCAGTGTTTTAATGAAGTTCAACTGCATAATCTACAATAACTATTTCTGCATCTTTGATTAAATTCATAAACAGACAATAAGAAAATAAAATTACAGGAAATAATGAAGAACACAGCAAAAAAAAAAATAATAAATATATATATATATATATGGGGGATTTTTTTACTATGACTAAGGATACCTTGCAGTGAGTGAAATGAAAATTAAGAAAATAAGGACTTAGTAAAACTCTTCTTCAGAGGCACTTGCTGAAAAATTCATCTCCTAAATGGCTGTTGAAGAAGAGGTGTGGGCACTGCATCTTTCACGGCTTAGTTGTTTTGTCTCTGTATTCTGGTTAGCTGTAATTGTGATGCTGTAATCATACTCATGGAAGTAACCACACTAATCATGACTTTTCACACAGGAACTCCCGCTGGTGGTGTGGCTGACTGGTAGCACAACTACAGACACGACTGCCATACCCCCCTCCAATCACAGATGTGAACTAATAGCTAGCAAAAAGCTGCTTAGCCCCCAGTTCCTGCAAGAGATTCTTTATTGCCTGTGTGGGTTTAATTAGGGCATCCAAATTGAAAGCCCTGAAACTTGTAAAAGATGTGAAAAGATGGTCTATGAGGAACTGAAAACCTGTCATTGAATTAAAGGAAAGATGGCTCTAAAGGCTATCAGAAGCAGATCGGATCAGGTGCTTCTGTTTTATGCTTTTCTCATGACAAATGGCCAGACCAGGAGGGACAGTCTTCCATACTGGGAAAGAAATCTCAGAAAATGTGAAGGAAAAATGGACTGAGATTTCAGACTGACAATTTTCAGAATTAATCTGTCTACAAATTATTTTATTAACTTTTTTTAATAGAAGAAAATCTAGAGACACTGTCTTTATTCTGCCTAATTCTTGCAGTGACAGACTTTCATCTGGAAGGACCATTGCCTTTCATCTAGACTTGATTTGTTGTGCTCCCAGCTACCAGGAGAGAGGAAGTTCCCCTTCCCACTGAGGCAAAGCAAAAACATCCTGAGAAAGCTCCAGTGTAATTGCCAAATTCTGCCCTTAATTACCCTTCTGTACTTGCACTGCTTTCCACAGGAATCAAAAAGCCCGAGTTTCCAATGCTGAAATGTCCACATAGGTTTTTCTTCAATTAAATGGAATGCATACCCATGCATTTTTCAAAGATTAAAACGTTTTCAGTCACTTCAGGCTACAGCACCATTAGCAAATAGTGCAGAATAACATGAATGGAGCAGTAGGCTGGAGCAGCTGAGGACGAGGCCCAGAGAATATCTGGGAGGTTGCTGCAGAGTAGCTTTGGCATTGCCCTGCTTTATGGCATTATTGTGGTCTCTGAAGCCAAGGAAACTGCCATCCCAAATGGGAGAGATGGGTGCCAGAAAAGGAGGGACAGTGAAAGAAGAAAGGAAGACAGAGGCAAACCCTTTGGAACAGTTCATCCATGCAGGGATGGTATCAGAGCAGAAAGAAAGGAAAAGATAGTAGTGAGGGGATGCCTCTGTTGGAGAAACAAGAGCTGTTCTCTTGGAGGACCGGCAGCAAACGTAGAGTGCAGATGCCTTTGCACAGTACAGGGAGGATTCAGGTTAACAGATGATGACTCAGTCTGGTTAAAGAGTGCTGTACAAGTGGATGCTTACACCACACATGCCAGTTGCAGCGGAAATGCTAAGTCAAGGCTTGATCCAGTGACTGAGCACCTAGTAGGAAGGCAGAGCCAACCCAGGGGAGCTCAGGTGCATGCAGTTTACCCGAGTGACCAGAAGGGGTGGAGCCAGGATCCATCCCTTCCCAGACCTCATTTTAAGTTGGCAGTGGAGGTAGGGGTATCTCTTGGAGTTTCCTGTGTTCCTGAGGCCTTCTGAAGGTAAGCAGATTTTTTTTTTTTTTTCCCCCCCTTTTATTTCAGTACCTACAGCTGTTGTATTTGACCAAGTCCTCACTGAGAACTTGATTTACTGATTACTTTTTACATTGATTATGTATTACTAATACTATTTACTTTATTTACACATCTTTACTGAGGCATTATTTATTGCAGGGATCTTATTATACGTATCTGTTTGGGAAACAAATACACACATTGTCTGTATTATATATTCAAAAGCCTTCAGATTTAGACTACTTTCTGTCCTGTACAATTAACTGTTAATGATGACCTAGATGGGACAGCTGCTAGATACCAATTTCTGTGTCATCTGGTCTCACAGAAGACAAAAATCCCACATTTCCTTTGAAAGCAGCTCTTCTATGTGGTACCATATGACCTATCTAAGCTTTCAAGGTTGAAGCACATCTCTTACTTTCTATGTGTATTTTTAAAATTGCTTTGCAGTCGTCTGCCATTGGATTAGCATCCACATTGCTGCTCTAAACCTGAGCCACAGAGCTCTCTTGCAGTATTCTGACCCTTTTTTTTTCTATAACAGATATGATCTTCATACTCATTTGCCAAACATACATAAGATTATATGTTCTCAGGAATTTATTTGACCTTTAAGATGCTGAACTATATGTGTGTTCAATGACTGATGTGGCTCAATTCCTTTGTAAACAGATTTCATTTGGCCTGCAGCCAAATTAATTCTAGCACCTTGGTTTGACAGGAAGATGTAACTCTATTAATTTCTCAGTTTTTGCAAATATGCTTTTATTTAGATCCAAATAATGCTCAAATTCTAAGGAGCTCAGTGTTCACCTGAGGCCTCCTCTCTCATCCTGAGGATTGATTTTAGGCAAATGTCAGCTACTAACTAACACTAAGGATCAGACTAGTTGTAGTTACTCCAAACTGCTGAATTAATATTTAGGTGTTAGCCTTGATGAACTGCAATGAAAATGCATTTTATATGGTACTGTAAATTGTGTGTGATGCCTCTGTAACAAGAATTCACTTATTTTTCTTCAGAGGTGAAATCAATGCCAAAGCTCAGGAAAATATATAAGTGTGAAACAAAGAGACCAGCTAGACTTTCAATAGTTTCTGCCCCATCTCTTGAGATACTGTCCCATAAGTGAGATGGGGTTACTTTCCAGGCACTCAGTATGCTTGAATTAAACTGGTCTAACAATTTGTCTGAGTTTACCTAGTTTTTAACTGCCTAGCCAGCCAAAATTGTTCCCTGATCAAACAGATCTGTTGTGTCAGCTTTGATTTCTTTCTGATTTTTCTCGCCTATCAATCTGCTGTCAGCTGCTA